TATCGGTATATACTGACATTGAAATAGGTATCTACTGTGTTAAATAGAGGTTTGATAGTGTGTAAGAAATAGTGATTACTAATAAAACTAAATAGATATACAATATTTTTATCTGTTACTGATAAATCACTATCTATAATGAGATTACCTCGATAAACAGATTTTGATGATGATTTGTTATAAGTTAGGAATCTAACTTGATCATATACACTTTATTGACACTATTTTTAATGTATTTTTGTAAATATCGGTAAAGCTTTATCTTAACCAGATAAGGTATTTATTAAAATCAAACTGCAAAATGTATTAGTCATTTAATATGTAATGATATTTTATTCAATTTTACACAGGTGTGCAGNGCCTAAAAAAATCATGGGAAGATGCACAGGTAAAAACTATAACGAATATGGTTAGTATCACATTTGATAACAGGTGGTGTATATTTCATAATAAATCACCGTATTCAGTATTTTTATATTAAAAATACTGCAACCATATTGATATTAGCCAACATATTAAGCTAGACTAACTTCCTGCAAAGAACATATTCAGTACTTTGTAAAGTTGGCCTAGGGATATTTCAATACGACCGTCGTTCGAAAGAAGCATATTTTAAGTAAAATTAAGATATTAGCGGAATTGTGTGTCAGCTTCAGGTTGTGATCAAACTTAGTACACTGTATTATCAAACTGTTACTTTCTACACAAACAATGTACGTATCAAACGGGTCGCAACGTTTCAAGACTATAGCTTAGCAAAGGAACCCGTCTGTCTGGAAACGTTGCGACACGTATAATACGTACAGTGTTTGTATAGAAAGTAAAACTTTGATATCACATATTTCCAAATTGTTTAATCTCATTGAAGATATTAGTAGACTGTGTATATCGTCCTCTCACCTAATGTTATTTTCATTTTTTACATTAATTATTATTCGACGGAACACTTTGAACTTTCGTTTTGCTTTTTAGCACGATTAATATTTATAAAACAAGAACTTTTACATGGACTTTGCTTGAGATTTGGTGATAACCTGTTGTTTGCAAAACGAATTGATGAACCATGTTTATTTCAGTATAATATGAAACTTATGCCTGATTAATACAGGTATCTAAGGTAATAATGACAGTATGATTTAATATGGGCAATAGATCCGAACAGACAAACGTTCGTTGGATACGCAGCATTTAAATAGATACATAAGCAAAGACATAATAACGACAAAGGAATTTGTCAATGTTCAGGGCAACCCGCCCAATTATTTGGACAACCGGAACATCAAATTCACAGCAAAATTTCAGAGGAAAGAAAACCCTTATTTGACACCTGCTCCACACTCACCGACGGAGAAAAAAGCAAAAAGGGATACTGCGAACCAAATGACACCCATCAGTAGCTCAATCCCTTCAATCGTCACCCATCACACACAACAATAAGTATCTCATATTCCAAAGGACTGAGCATTTTTGGTATCGTCTTGGATGATGATACCGTTTTACGCCACTGTAACGAGGTGAGGTCTAACCTACTCTGCAGGGGATACAAAGGAGCTCTGATAGATCATGGATTCGACAGATACAACACAAGGAATTGGAGAGTCTGCTGCAATACCAAGTCAGACTCAAAACTGACAGAGTGACTTTTGTGGTTACCTGCCATCCTACCATGCCACCTCTCTCGGGTGAATCTAAAACACACTGAAATAATTTTACTTCGTCCAGTAAACTCAGAAACATCTTTCTTGAAGCGCAAGTGCTTGCTTACCGACGACAAACAAATCGTAAAGACATGTTAATAAGCGATACGTTACCAACGTCTGCCCCTAATGCTACCACTGGTCGTTTCAAAACACCACCAACATATTCAAATGCGGAATCAACAGTCAGATCACTTGTGATACGTGCTAATTGCAGAATGTTGAGAGACTAAAAACACCATTTAATCTCAGGATTAACAACCAACGCTATACCATCAAGCAGAAACACCCGGACCTACCAGTAGCCAGACATTTAAACATGCAGAGCCAGACAGAACATGAAGTTTGTTCCCCATGATCACTGCAAAAGTTGTAGTGACCAGAAACGGAACGACACTGGATCAATCATAAATCAAAAACAATCTGCCCCATATATATAAAACAGGTTCCGGCTAGCTCTGGAGCATTGTTATCTATACAATTAACAAAATATGGTGCTTACCAGTTTCCCACAATTTAGTTATGGACACGATCTTATTATCTTTCTTACTTTATCTAGTTGAGCAAGAAACAAAGGCACCCCAGATTCCTGTGGGGGACTTGTGTGTATGTGTGTGTGTGTATGTGTGTGTGTGTGTGTGTGTGT